AGAGGAGTAGGCCGTTGGGATTATACTTGCCCACTTCGTTTCTCCCTATAGTTCCCTGCCATATGTCAGCGTCTCTGCCAACTTTGGCATTGAAGTCACCTAGGAGCACAACCTAATCTTCTATGAGGATAAAGGTTAGCACTCTGTCAAGGTCGGCGTAAAATGTCTCCTTGATATCATCCTCTGAAGAAGAAGGCATGACGTGGGTGATTCAGTAGAACTTAGAGCTTCACGAAGCGCTCATTGGTATATATTTTTTTTTTTTTTTTTTTTTTGCAAGCCATTTTTAGGGCACCTTTTCTAGATCTCTCCTCATGCGGGTGAGCAGAGTAGTTCCTGGAAAGGGATGCTCAGTCGCACAGACAGGACCGGATTGTACTGCTACCTAGATCCCAGTGCATAAATGACCATCATATCTTTGCCGCCCATGTGCAGAGACTCCATGCAGTCATCTCTGCCTGTTCCCGTCGCCACTCCTCCGTCACCATAGGACTTCTGGGGGTTTAGGGGTTTTGATGATGATTAAAGGTATGATGAGCTGGTTGATTACTGCGAGTGAGTTGATTTATGTGGTGAGGTAGTAGGCAGCTACCAAATAGGGAGGTACTACCGCCTGGGAAGATATTGGAAGCATAACGTGTTGTCTAATGGTAGACCCTGCTGCCAAATGGCATCACAAAAATTGTGACCAAATCCCAGGTTGCTGATCTGACTTTCTGCCTCATTTACTCACAATTATAGGTTTCAATTGTTTCTCTTACTTGACAGCACAACATACATATAGCGTTTCTCACTATTGATTTTTTTTTCAGTTTTGTATTTCTTTGTAGTTCTTTATTATTATTAATATTATTATTACTACAGTGTTATTATTATTGTTGTTAAAATTATTATTTTATTTTATTTTTACCATAAATTTTATTTACTATGAATAATTATTACATTTTCGCCCCCCAGTCCCCGATGTGGGTCAGTGACCTGTGCCCGGGTGGACTAATCCCCGTAAAAAAAAAAAAACATATTGGCTCTCCCTTTTCCTGATCCAGTGGTGCAGGTAGCTGCAATGACTAGATTAAGGGAGAGGTACAATGGACTGCTGGTAGCCTGTCCATCTTGCATTGCCTTCATCGCTAGTGTAGTCCTTGGGTTCCCATATTGGTCACCTCTTCCACTTATTCCGCCGTTGGGGTCTTACTGGAGCTCTGTAATCATGTCTGCCTGATGTGAGGCTTCTCCGCAGATTTTTCGTTTGGAGTTTACTCCCGTAGACCTATACCGACCAGGGTTAATTTGCAAAGGCGTGACCTCATGCCGGTGGGCCAATGCGCCATCCCTCTGGGTCCCACTGCTGCTCCGAGATCGCCTGCTGGTCTAGCCTGATGGTGAAGAGGCTGCATACTGGCAAGGGAAGACTTATGCAAGGCTGCTTCCTTACTCACCACGAGGTCTAACCAGCAGCAGTAGCTGAAAGCAAGAGGAAGCAAGCAGTGCTTGCACCTTAACACTAACATAATGCTGCCACACTAGACGCATTACACCACCTTGTGAGTGGGAACACACACACACACACACACACACACACACACACACACACACACACTGAATACACAGTACCCACCACACACACACACACACACACACACCTCAACCAATGCCTCCTAACTGGTGTAGCACACACGTATCAGTGCTCTGGTCCCCAGCTGCCACTCCCACTCAAGTACAGAGACCCTACATCAAGACCTACAGGCCGATTACTGACTCTGCAGAGCGCCTCTTCGGGCAGTGGATAGTTCACCATCCCTGGACTGAAGTACTTAGCGTGGATGACGTGGAAACCAAATGGATAAATTATACCAACACCACCACGGAAGCTCACCACCACTTCTTCCCCGAGAAGTCCGTCAGATCTCACCCAGCTGACTTGCCTTGGATCACACCTCGGATCAAAAGACTTATGCAACAGAGAGACAGAGCCTTTCATCTCAATGACCACATCCGCTACAGGTCACTTCGCAACCGAGTCATCCGCGAAATACGCACTGCAAAGAAGTCCCACTACCCAACCAAATTACAACACCTGAAGCAGACCAACATCAGTCAATGGTATGGTAAGCTTAAAGAACTCTGTGGACTAAACAATAAGACACACCCCCTCCCCTTCCTTAGCCATCTCACTAATGTTGACGCAGCTGAGCAAACAAATAACCATTTCGCTACTATATGCCAGACGCTCCCACGGCTTGCCACAACCACTCTCCCTGCTTACCTACCAGCCCCCCTTCCCACTGACTTAGTAGAAGAATTTGACGTAGCAAAGCGCCTGGACAAACTAAAATTAAAACGCTCTACCACCCCCATTGACTTACCAATGAAACTCTCCAAGGAGTTCTCCCCGGAACTTGCTAAACCCCTCTGCTCCATCATCAATGCTTCTCTCAGTCAAGCCAGATGCCCAGCTGACTGGAAGACCTCTTATGTATCACCAGTGCCCAAGTCAACCAGCCCACAATCCTTAAATCAGCTACGACCTATTGCAATCACCCCAATACCCAGCCTAATCTGTGAAAGTTTTGTGTTCGACTGGGCTTATGCTGATATTGCAGGAATCGTAGACCCTCAGCAATTTGGCAACATGAAAACTTCCTCCACCACTCACTGTCTGTCAGCTTTCTCGATTACATATACCGCCATCTCGAGAAACGAAAAACGTCTGTAGCTGTCGCCTTCATTGATTTCACTAAAGCGTTCACGACCTAGTCGACCACAATATAATCATCAACAAAGCTATTGACCTCGGGCTTCGGAGAAGTCTTATACCATGGCTTACAGACTTCCTCAGTGACCGACGCCAAGCTGTACGCTTCCGAGGGGCTGTCTCCACCTTTCAGTCACTCACCTGTGGCGTCCCCCAAGGCACCAAGATGGGACCACTCTGCTTCCTTATGCTCATCAATGATGCCCTAAGAGAAACCCCTGCTCGCTGGAAATATGTCGACGACTCCACCATTGGGATCAGCGTCAACAATTCTGCTCCCAACTATACCGCCCTTCAGGATTTATTGAACAGTCTCCAAAACTGGGCCACCAACAACCATGTCACCATCAACCATACCAAGACCATGGTTATGCACATCAACCTCTCCTCCGACATTGTCCCACCTCCTTCCATTACTAGGTCCGAACACACTCCAGGTTGTAGATTCCACGAAGCTCCTCGGCGTCACCATAGACAACAAACTAAATTGGAAACCACACGTCAGTGAAGTTGTCAAATCCTCCAGTTTCCGTCTCCCACCTCCTCCGCCGACTCAAGTCCCTCGGAGTTCCTGCACCGAGCTCCTCAGTGTTTACACAACATTCATACTTCCCAAGCTCACCTATGCCTCCCCCACCTGGTCTTCCTCCCTAAATGCCACACAACGTAAACACCTAGAAAAAGTGCAAAAGAGGGCATGCAAGATTATTCTCTCCCCTTCCTACTCCACATATCAAGAAGCGCTCAACACACTGACCCTTTCGACTCTCACTGACCATCACCACGACCTCATCTGCAAATTTGGTAAGAAGCTTCTACACCATCCCCGACACCGGCCCCTACTACCACCTGAGATCCCTTGTCCGAGAATTGCTGTTCGACACCACAACCGCATCCAGCCCATACGTGCACGAACTGATCGCTATAAGAACAGCCCAGTCCCAACCATTGTAAAAATTATCAATAACTTGTAATAAATCAGTGTATTCACTCCCAGTAAACACTGCTCCTTACACTGTCACTATGTTGAAATGAACTGTAGTTTGAGCTTTTCCCCATCTAGTTATTATATGTCTTATTTGTGTCACTTATGTTACTTGTATATTATTTGTAATTCGTAACCCATTCCCCAAATATGTAACTGTATATTTTCAGCCTTCTGGCTGCCAAGCTCTTTCAATAAACCGTTAATTATTATTATTATTATTATTATTACATACACAGTACCACCAGCCCCCCCACACACACATACACACACACACACCCACATGTAGCCAGTATAATTTAGAGTAAGTAATTAATAACTTACGACCATGGATGTATAATCATGAACATTGATTATTCAATGACCTGTAGAGGTTAGAGGTTGTTCATAGGTTATATCACTTGGCGTAAAACATAGCAGCCGACCTTAGTCGTACTGACAGGCTGAGTGTTATGACGACTCTGAGTGTTGCAGTATGACGCAACCCTCCTCTGAGTAAGTAGGTAATTCTTTGAACACTGACTTGATTGCTCATTTTTGGTAATTGGATACGTTGCTTCACACTTGCAATGAGTCAAGTATTTGATATAGTTAGATAATTAATGCATATAGATAGTGGCACCGTCAGTTAAGAATGATTCATGGGTCAACGAGATCATTTCCAACAGGTTATTTGTAAAACGTAACATCAACACGGCTGACTGGTGGTCGGTAGTACATACCAAGGAGGTGACTATTTCCTCCTTGGAGAAACTTCTAGAAGCTTGACTCATGCATCACTCTAGCAGTGCCTGTGTGAATTACACTTCCCCGGGCATGACTGCCGCTCGGCTTGAGTTAGTCTATTGCTGGACCCCACACACAGTACCACCTCAATTCTAGAGTATCTAACACTGGGACCACTTCAGTACTAGATCATGGGGCCAACCTATTTCTCTGTACAGCTGTAAATGGATCCTGTATAATACATGGTTTGTACAACCAGACAAGTGTATTGTATACTTCATTTTTATGGAAAACGTAAAACCAAAGTAGACATCAATTATCTACAGTCTCCGACATCGTGCTGATCACAGCGGGACTCTAAATAACTACAAGCAAATTACTTTTAAGTGGGACGTTCACGTGGCAAGTCCCACTCCTCATAGGCCTTACAGATTATAGGCCTACACACGCATGCACACACACACACACACACACACACACTCATTAACGTCACTCACCTCATCTGCACACACACACACACCCACAGCAACGTAC